GTACACAAGATGGACTCGTCCAAAATATACTTATACTACAGAGAGATAGCGTGAGGAAAACGTCGAGACAGGTTGTTCACCCAGAGTTATACGAGAGTCCAGAAAGAGAGATAATTACGGCTTCACTTACAGCGACTTGTACATATACTTTTCTACTAACCCGCATTCCTGGACTACTAATCTTCATTTCAAGTTTGTATTCTTACGTTTAATACACATATTTTTCTATTTCAATTACTGGCGTTGTTTATTTATTTGTGCAGGATTCCATACCCGGAATCCACAACATTAATCATCCAATCAACAAATAAAAAATGTAACACCTCTCCCATGTGTCCATTGTGTATATTTTTAAAAAAATCATAATCCTGATAAGGGGGCAAAGAGATCACACGTAGATAGCAATTCGGAGTACCCTAATTCTGTCCCCTATTCGAGACTATATTGTCGGGTGTAGTTTTAGGTAATACCCAAGAATTACTTTCCTGTACCCTCGAAAAAAAAAAAAGAAAAAAAAGGTGCAACTAAAAATATATCTGTGAAAAGATAATATGAATAAAGACAAAAAGAAAATTTATCTTCGCCGACAAGTTTCGTCCTCTGATCGACTTTATCAAGGCAAAAAATCATAGGTAAGCAGTATGAAAAGGTGATGTTAACATTATGCACATGCCCACATCTATATCAGTTATGTTCTAACACTTAGTGAGTAAGTGTGAACACCAGCTAGGCCTGCTCATGGCAAGGTGATGTGGATAACCGAAGTTCAAATGGGACATGTTAGTGAGTGCCAGATGGATGCAACCTTTCATTTCTGAAATTGTGGAGACGTTTGGCATCTCACTTTTTCACGTGGGTATCAGAAATACTCACAGATCCTTAATGATCGTGACCACGGGCGTTTCACTCAAATTTTATATGGTAACAGACAGGCGATACTGGTTCAAATCACATTCGCATCCAATGTAGAAGATCCACCAGATTGAACCTCTAGACACCATCTTGAACCCCGCGTTTCACTTTGGCTCGTGATGTCGCTAATTAAGCTCTGGAGGATTGGTAAGGTGAGCTTTTGTCCACTGAGTCATCGTTCTCGGGCTAATGATAGGGTTCGGGTTATGGTCTATATATATATATATATATATATATATATATATATATATATATATATATATATATATATATATATATGGACTTTTAGTTGCAACTGCTACGACCGTAAATGCCTGTCCTGTATTGAACTTAGCAGTCACAAACCTGCCTGCAAGCGACGTGTACAGACTCTCTTGATCTTCGTTTTGTGAAGCCAAGCTGTTGTGGCCTTGTTAGGACCATTAATAAAAACACAAAGTGATGAATTGATTTAAACAAATATATTAACAAAAACAGTAACAGAAACACATACAAAGGAGAGTGTTGCAGCAAGAATGTTTGGTCTGACTGTCAGAGCTGACGGTTGGACACTTCCCTCTACAAAAGGCAGTACCTGCTCCTATTTATAGCTGGGAGAGTCCATGCGTGCGTGGGTAAATTACCATAACAGATAGATAGATAGATAATTAGATAGATATGAACAGACTGATATATATATATATATATATATATATATATATATATATATATGTGTGTGTGTGTGTGTGTGTGTGTGTGTGGAGAAAGAGTGAGGGGAGAGTGTTGTGGCCTGGAAAAGTCCATGCGTACGTGGGTAAATTACCATAACACAAGCCATGATATATATATATATATATATATATATATATATAATGATACAAAATATATTTTTAACGCATGCTATATTTATCGGTAAAAGTGCTCAATATCAAGGATAAAGCAAATATAAATATAAAATTGGACATTAAGACAGCAAAACAGTCTGTTCCATCTGACCTGAAAATTGCATTCAAACTGTGTCCTCTAAAGAGTAAATTTATTCAACAAAATCGTCCGTGGCCTCAACCACGGCTTCTGGACTACTTCGAACTCTCCTGTAACTCTTCAGGGCGGTCTCCTTGTTTAAGATTGGTGAATGCTACCACAATCCTTGCCTTCAATTCACCTTTGGGTTTACACGGGGTTTTGTTAGTCTCTCATTCAAATGAGCTTCGCACATAATAATCAAGGGGGTTGCTGTTTGGGGAGTTAGGTGGCCAGATATGAGGGATGATGTGGTCGCAGAAATTGTCTGACAACCATGAATGCGTCCTCCTGATTGTGTGACATGGTACAGAGTTCTGTTGCCAGACATAGGGTCTTGTAGTAACCACCCTCTTGCTCAAGGGCAACACTACCTTCTCGATGTAGTCCTCCGTGTTGAATCTGAGGTCCTCACCAACAAATTCGGGAGGTCTTTTCTTATCCGAACAATCAGAGTGAGTTTTACGTAATCACCATTGCACGAATCCAACTCTTTCCGAATCCTCTGCACTGTCTTCAGACTGATACCCAAACACCCTGAGCTGTTCGTTTTTGGAGCTTCTGGCGCGAATGTCAAGCAGTACAGTGTGCCGTTTCCAAATTTCTGGCCGAGGGAATTGCGCCATGGTGCTCTTTTTTCTAACAGACGATGCCCAACTGACCTTTTTATAGTGTGCAGTCGACAAAATGAAAAATGAACAACGCGCATGCGCGAAATTAAAAATATAACATGACGACAATTTACCCATCATACCATCTATATATGGGAGGATGTTTCCTTTTTAGCATTGTTTTAATGTTCCAGATTGAAAATGAACAGACTGATAGATTTCTATTCACTTTCTCCTCTTTTCCCTCCCTTTCTCTTCCTCTGTTCTTCTTCGTCCATCTTTTTCTTCCCCCTTTTCTCTTCTTCTTCCGCCCTTTTTCCTTTTCCCTTTTCCTTTTTTTTTTTTCTCTCTTTCCTCTCTTGTTTTTCTTCCTCTCTTTCCCATCCTCTTTTATATTCTCTCCGTCTTGGTTCCCACCTGTTCTACCGTCTTCCCCTCTTTCTCTCGTCCCTTCTATTTTCCTGTTTGCTCTGAATTCCGACCCCCCCCACCTCTCGACCCCACCTTCCAGTGTCTGCCCAGTTTAAACGATCGATAGCCGCACCAACAGAGACATTCGTAACTCCTGCAGCTACCGCCCTGCCTGCCGCTGCGGCTGGCTGGTTGGCGCACGAGAAGAGAAACGAAAAAAAAAAAAGAAACACCCACCCAAGCCAATGACCCAACAAGGCGAATTTCGCATAATTTTTCTTTGCTTTTTTCAAATGAAATCATCCAAAAACAATAATAAAGTCAATGCCCTAAATGCCGCCTTGTCGTAGGGTAATGGTTAACTAGCTAATCTGGCTGACTATTACTACACAGTAGTGAGTTCAATGCTCACTAGCAACCCATATTCATGGCCTTGTGCCAAAAAAAAACCTAAACTTAGTTAATAACAACACTTAACGTATTGGTTTCTTCAACGTGGGGTACTGGTTAACGAACTAATCTGTTGGACCATTACTGAACGGTAGTGAATTCGATCTTCAGTAGGAGCTCCATAGTAAATAACAAACCTTAACGTAACTGGTACCACAATGTGGGGTAATAGTTAACGAGCTTGAGCTCGGCCTTCACGAGGTACCCCATGCACGTGCCAAACTAAGCTAAACTAAGTAAAGTCTGGTTGAGTTCGATCCTCACTGGGAGCCCATATTCGTGGCCTTGCGCTAAACTAAGCTAATCTTAGTAAATAACGACATTTAACGTACTGGTTACTTCAACGTAGTGCATGATTAACGAGCTAGCTTGATTGAGTACGATCCTCACTAGGAGCCCTATACTCGTGGCCTTGTGTCAAACCCAAACTGAAACGTGCTTGCTAAATACTAACACTATGTACGCAAACACTTCTCCACGCATACGCACACACACAATGTCTTTTAGAGTATAAATACAGGAGCACACTAATACACGCGCGCATAATTACATACACACACGCGCTCGTACTCACGTACACAAGTACAAGCACACAGACGCGCGAGCGCATTTCTAAGTTTGCTTTTGTATGGGCGGCAAATAGGTTAAAAAATAAGAATAAAAGCAGAAGACATTAAAAAACAAAAAATTGCAATGGTTGGTTCTGTATAGGCACTTGATACAACCTGACAGGATTCAATCAATGTATAGAGAAAGATAATTTCCACTGGGTATACGGGTAAATTAGAAAAAAAGGGAGTAAAATTTGGGGACAGAGTCAAATTTTTCAGATTTGTCTACAAGGCGAAATTTTGGCTTCATTTGAAAGTCAACCTATACTAAAATTTTAACTGACTTTCTTCTCAGAAATCACGCGCAATGAACTTGACATGATGAAGGTTTCTGCCCGTTGGGTGCCACGTCTTCTGACACCTGATCAAAAGCGTACCAGGCTGATCACATCATACGAAAATCTGACATTGTCTGAGGAAGCTCCATCTGGTTTCCTTGAAATTTTCCTAACTCAGGAAGAGTACTGGATTCATCACTTTGAGCCAGCGACAAAGAAACAATACATGATATTAAAAACACCCCTCCCCACATGATCCAAAAAGGGCCAAGCTCGTTTCATCTGTAGGGAAGGTTATGGCTCCAGGTTTTTTGAAGATACAAATGACATTGTGTTTATTGATTATCTTCAAAAGGGCCATATCATCAATGGAGAGTACTATGCCAAATTTATGACGCTGTCAAGACCAAACGTCCTGGAAAATATACGAAATGAGTCATGTTTTCATCAAGACAATGCTCCAGCACACAAGACTTTGGTTTCAATGGATACTGTTCGTGATTGAGGCTTTTTAACCTTCCTATCCTCTTGACAACATGAAAAAACACTTGGCTGGCAGTCAGTATCGCGGTTATGATGACGTCATGTCTGCTGTTGATTGTTTACCAACAGGATGAGCAGTTTTCTTTGAACAATCAGATATCAGTTTACCTGGAAAGAGGTGAAATTAATGCATGTAAGATTTTAGTATCATTCCTTCATAGTCATAACTTTTCAGTCCACTCTCAAAGATAGATACGAACAAACTGATAGATAGATAGATAGATAGATAGATAACGAACAGACTGAGGTAGATAGATATGGTGATTTTCTAAGCATTGCTTAGATGTGGCACAAGGCCGAGAGTATGGAGCACCCACTGAGGATCGAACTCAGTACTCAGTCGTAATTGTTCTAGCGAGACAAGCTTGCTAGCCATTGCACCACACCGAGGTGCCCAGATAAATAGATATGAACAGACATAGATACAAACTGGGACATGTAGAAAGATAGAGAGAAATAGATATATAGATCTGCACATACTTAGATAGATAGATAGATAGATAGATAGATAGAAAATGGTAATTTTCTTAGCGTTGCTTAGATGTGGCATAAGGCCAAGTGTATGGAGCACCCACTGAGGATCGAACTCAGTACTCAGTCGTAATTGTTCTAACGAGACAAGCTTGCTAGCCATTGCACCACGCCGAGGTGGCCAGATAGATAGATATGAACAGAGATAGATACGAACAAATTGGGACATATAGATAGATAGATAGATACAGAGAGAGAGAGAGAGAGAGAGAGAGAGAGAGAAATAGATAGATAGATCTGAACAGACTGAGATAGATAGATAGATAGATAGATAGATAGATAGATAGATAGATAGATAGATAGATAGATATGAGCAAACTGAAATGCTTTATGAAGCAGCGACTGTCATCAAAATCTCTCTTTATGTCTTGAAATCTGCAGACCTTAATGATTACCCCAAAATCGAATGTCATTGAAAGAAAAGAAGAAAAAAAAAAGGTAACCTCAGGTACGTTCAGAGGCGAAAAAGAATCAGTGATGATCGCTAAAAACAGTTAATCGAATTAAACTTCATTTTATAAACTTGATGGAGTAACTCTTCTGTAAGATCATTGCCTTATCATATATTTTAGAATTCATGCTTCAATTCCTTGACAATGAAACATTCATTTTGTTATATTCTTAAATATTTCTCGTCGCCATTTTTTGCCAGCAAATATCTTTATGATTCAATCGGTACCACTGCCCCTATCTAGTTTGTTTGTAGTTACATATTTAATGTTCGTCAGTTGTTACATAGCTACAATTGTTATATCTTTGAATGGTACAAGTTAATTGCATGTAGCCATGTTTGTAAGTCCGGGCGTATTCTGAACAGAGTTCATACGAAAATTTGTGATACACTGAGCCGTTATCTACGGTGCGCAGAATCGATCTGTCCGTCATTCGTTCTCGCTAACTGACTTAGAGGCAAATATTATGCTTGTCAATGGCTGATTTGCAAATCTCGTAGATGATCTCGTGATATTCCGAATTCAATGTCTAACAGACAGAACACTATGCGATGTTTTACACTGTTTGTATATTTATATATACTTTTCGGCAGTGTCATAGCGAAGTCGAAAAATGATGACGTCAGTATTAGTAGTAGTAATAGTAACGTATTTACTCAACATTCCCACCGATGAAATTTTATGTCTTCTTTCAATGTGAATTTCTAATACGGACTGTTGTTAGTAGTATACATTAATTATTTTCGATAGTCTTTGTTATCATTATCATAATGTTCCAGCCGATCTATTCTGTAGCCTTCTTTCTCTTTGAGTTTCCAAAACGACAATTTGTTACTATTATACATTGATTCTTTTAGAAGTTTCTCGTTTTTGTTGCTTCTTGCATAATATTTCAGAAGATGTATTCTGAAGCCTTCTTTTTATTTTTTTTATTTCTAATACGAGGTTTTGTATATATATAAATATATATACATATATATATATATATATATATATATATATTATAATCTTATCATATAGACAAAAACCATTTTACTCGCTACAAAAGATGCAACTTGGTTTCAGTGCAGTTGAAATGCAGTTGAAATGCACTGAAACCAAGTTGCATCTTTGTAGCGAGTAAAATGGGTTTGTCTATATGATAAAATTATAATAAATAAATAATTATCGCTCTATTATCGGTATCGAGCCCGCTTTTAAATTAATGCTGTGAACGTTGGAATTTATATATTACTTTCGTTTTTTCGCATCGGATATATATATATATATATATATATATATATATATATATATAATCATAGGATTGGTATATACGGAATAAGTTTCAATAACCAACATATACTATTCTTAAAAGAGTGCTCAATAGATAGTAGAGCCAATATAATTTGTAGAATAAAGGGTTTTAAAAGGTTCAAATCGAGCAAACACCTCTCGATAGGGGAAACGCTGTTACATAATCTTCAATGACCAATCAAAATACAAGTAGATGAGAATTCAAAAAACTTGACAACGAACCTTGCTTATAGTTATTAATCCCTTAATGTTAAGGTTAGACTAAAATAGAAATCATTCTAATTAATATTAAATTTTACTATGAAATTGAAAATTAAAAATTAGCAATTTTAAATTTAATCTGTATTAAGTTTAAAATATTGTAAAATTATTTAAAGAAGAAACTGAGGAAAATGTATATATATATATATATATATATATATATATATATATATATATATATATATATATATATATATGTATGTATATATATATTAAAAAAAAATTTTAAATTATTAGCTCTGGATTTACGTTGAGCTCTCAGGTTTCATCCTCCTTGGGACTACCATACGGATTACCAAGTTTTTTATAACTTATATATATATATATATATATATATATATATAAAAAGGAAATATGTTGTAGTGGTTCCAACGAGAGAAAAGTATGTATATTAAAAGAAGAGGGGTGCCGCAAACGTTTTTTTTGGTTGTAATGTGGATTTATTGAGAAAAAATATACTTTGTTTTACATAATTTCACGACACGTGTTTCTGGTCTGGTCTCAACCCGTCTTCAGGTGAAAGTGGAGATTTTACATATTATTAAAAATAATTAATTTTTCTTCATGTTCAATGTGGAATATTCTCGATTCCATTGAAAATTCTGTTTTAATGTAAAATTTCCACTTTCAATCCGAAATTTCTTTCTGAAACACGTGTCGAAATTCGGTAAAAACAAAGTATATTTTTTCTCATTAAATCCACATTACAACCAAAAACGTTTGCGGCACCCCTCTTCTTTTTAATATATATATATATATATATATATATATATATATGCGTGTGTGTGTGTTAGTGCGTGTGCGTCTCTGATTATTTTGGTAGCAATCACTCTTTAATACAGATTTCATTAAAAATGTCCGACTAAGTGTAGTTAGTTTTTTGTGTGTGTGTGTGTTTTTCTTGTGAGAACAGCAGATTTGTTTTTTGAACTTAGTGTGTGTAAAAACTGTAGATATTTCTTTTTTGGACTTAGTGTGGATTAGAAATTGTCCAAATCATTGTCTGTTTCGAGCGCTTCCGGCTAATCTATCAGTCATTTTCAACTTACACACCACTTGCAATAGCCCTTAATCCTAGGACCAACCGTTATCTACATATCCTCGTAATCTGCACTTATTACCTCCCCTTACATTCATATGACAATCTCATTCAGTATTCCGCTATCTTCAGTGGCTCTTGCGATTTGTACTGGGTGAATATTGAAAAAAATGCACAAAACAAAATCCTTGAAGATTTCATAAAGAAATCCCATGACCGCACACAGAAAAAAAAAAAACACAAGAAAGAAAACAAAAATAACTTATTAGTCTTTCCCAAGCTCATTCAAGCGTAGTGAAAAAAATTAATATATTTCATCGTTTTCAAGTGAAATACGGTAGAGTTCATTATTTTAGATGTTACTGAGTCTGGCAGTGGCTTCACCGCCATTGATGTTCTTTAAGGTCCCATTCCGCTTCGGTTTGTTTTACGGCATTGGGTCATTTAATGCCTAAATTTAATATTTTTCTAAATAAAATTTTGTATTTAAACAGTCAAAAAAATTATTTTACATAGGAAGGCTGCTGCTAGTAATGGTTATATTTTTCCTTTTAATTATATTTTTTAAATCATTTTAATTTCTTTTAGAAACTGGAATATGTTAAATGAATCCGTATTTTCAAAAAGTTCTTATATTTTGAACACAATTTTATGGTTTCAACTAAATATATTTCGAACGCAATTGTATTTTTTTCAACTACAGATAAAATGTGTTGTCGGTCATTTTGCTGTGAAAATGTATTGTTGGTAATTTTACTATAAATATGTATTGTTGGATGGTTGATTTTGTTTAGCGGCATATCAACACCTCTATGGGTTATTTAATGCCAAAATCTAAATATTTTGAATGCAATTGTATACTTTCAACTTCAGATAAAAAGTATTGTTGTTCATTTTGCTTTAAAAATATATTATTGATAATTTCACTATAAATAGGTATTGTTGGGTGGTTGATTCTGTTTAGCGGTATGTCAACACCTCTATGGGTTATTTAATGCGGAAATCTAAATATTTTGTACGCAATTTTATACATAAATCTTTATCCTCTAAGAGTAAAGATATGTTTTTTAGATATATATTTTGTAGATCATAAAATGTATTGTTGCCAATTTTACTATAAAAATGTTTATATATATATATATATATATATATATATATATATATATATATATTAGTGTTGCAGTGGTTTCATGCTCCTCAAAACCTCCAATCTCCCGATCAGAGACCTTGCTGCCGGATGTAGTTTATCGTCATACCCAGGACGGGACACATTAAGCACTTCTAGGTTAACCTTCTGATCCATTTATCTCTTCTGGCGTTATGAAGTGACACCGATTGAAAAGCTTACTTTGGTATTTCTTAGACTGGGCCCAGTATATATTTGGACCATCACAGATCACAAGGATTCTTGATTGGGATTAATTCGATTTAGACCTCTGTTATTACCTGGCGCAAATCGCATGCTACCCAAGTAGCCGGATATATTCAATGACCTGACCTCTTGAAGAGAGATGGGTTCATACCTTTCTCAATGAATTGATATAGTGCTTTATGTATATCTTAAAACCTACACGTGAAAGGCGCATTGGGATAGCGAAAGATGCCTTCCAAAAGCTAAGAAAAGTATTAAGAAATAGAAAATGTTTGTTAGTGTTATGGGAACTTACCTATAATAATAATGGACTATTCCTGACATTATAAATACTGCGCCTCTCAAGAGGTATGAGGAGATATTGTAAGACGAGGAGAGATAATTGAGAGCATATTGTAAGGACATTGGAATAGTGATACTTGTCGAGACAACATAGTTCACTCTAACCAAATCTGATAGTCATTACTAATACTTCTACTTCTTTGTATTATATTTCTGTTGTAATATATCTTTGTATTCCATACCTGTGTTCGTGTTATTCTTTCATTGGTTCTAACCTTGGACCATCACCGTAGTACAAGAAACGTGGACCATAATAGTTAGGAACAAAGAAAAATGTACTGGACTGTTACTTAATATCAACACTCCAATATGACAGTGAAGAAGAAACTTGAAGCAATAGAAATGTGGTTCTACAGAAGGATGCTGAGGATAGCATGGACAGAACATGTGAGCAACGACGAAGTTTTAGAGAAAATGGGAACGAAAAAGGTCACTTATACATGACATCAGGAAGCGACAGTTGAAATCTCTAGGTCACATAACGAGAAAAGAGGGCTTGGAAAATCTGATGCTCACAGGGCAGAATGAAGGCAAGAGGGACAGAGGAAAACAACGCATAACATACTTAGTGAAAAAGCATAACATACTTAGTAGAAAAAGCTTTGATAGAAAGAACAAAAAACAGAATTTATTAAGAACTGCGAAGCACAGGAAATTGTGGAGAGCCATGAACACCTACGTCCTAAAGCGATACGGTAGATAAATAAAAAGGGTCTTCAGTCCTCCTGTATGGCAGTGAATGCTGGACAATCTCCTCACCGATGAAGAAGAGACTTGAAGCAACAGAAATGTGGTTCTACAGAAGGATGCTGAGAATACTATGAACCGAACGTGTGAGCAACGACGAAATTTTAGACAAAATGAAAGCAAAAAGGACCGATAATTAACATCAAGAAGATACAGTTGATATTTCTAGGGCATATAGTAAGGAAAATGGCCTCAGGTTCCAGCATAGGAGAATCGCGAATCGAACAAGTATTTGTTGATCTTCGACAGAAACGCCTTAACCGTCACACATCCAAGCAAGCAAAACGATAGTAAAAATGACATAACTCAAGATTTTACTCAAGCCTGTGAGTCCATACTTACCCAACCAGATCTGTTCCATCAGAAAACTATGGGAAAT